TGCTCTTAGACTGCTTGATTGCCCAGGAAGGGGAAAGGTAACGCAGGATTTATCATTTCCAACAATTTCATCAATAACTTCAACAGCCATTAATCTCAGCAAAATATGGAAGAATAGCCAACCTCAACTGTTTGCCATAAAACTTCTCACAACTGGTCAAATAACAGTAGCTTGCAAGAATGGTGATGCCATGGCAGCAGCCAAAACTAGTGCTACAGTGAAACGTACCTCGTAACTAAGCAGATGCAGGAGTGTGTGGTTTGGGCAGGACTGTGCACACAAATTCCTCCTAATTTCTTCTTTTACTCCCCGCATTCCGCTATGAGCTACCACCTTTTTTCTTGAAATACGCAGATTTACCCAAAATTTTACTGTGATAAGGGGGATTTGGATTTATTGTTTCTCGGGACAACCTAATTCGTAACCTAGTGGAAAGATATTAATAGGCAGAATAACAGTTTGCTCGTCATGCAGTGTGTTCACTTTACAACGCAAACTCCTTCACTGACAAACACCGAAGCCATAAGCCAGAAGTCTCCCGAAAATTGCTGATGCCTTCTTGTGACCGAAGTAGGTGATGGACAGACTGCATCGCAAACGCCGGCATCGCCATCGAGCATGCAGATGAACATGCAAACCCATCAGTTGGAAAAATCTGTTGGGTCATTTTCAGTCCCGAAATTCCAAAACATAAGTAAAGTGCCAAGGTTATTTTGCCTCTGTTTTTGGAGTCTCCTACGGATCAGCAAATACACTCGCAGATGATCTGTCAACAAAAGAAAAACACTTGTCAGAATAGGATCGAAAGAGTTAATTTGACTGTTTTGTCGAAAATAATTTTGCTTAGTTCCATAACCTTTTGCATACCAAAATATTTGATGCAATATTTACTGCGATAAAGTTTTCCCCTGCACCAAATCGAAATCACTCGTCACCGTCTTGAAAGAGATTTTGGACTCGTCCACGAGCCACATCACGGTAAGGCAACAAAAAATACATAAAGGCGGCACATTTCACCCAGGACCATCATTCGTCAACTTTTGATAACCAAATGTCTTTTTTCAAGGGGACAAAATATTTTGACAAGCCCACACAAAAATCCTGATTTTTTGTCATTCAAAGTGGGGTTGATGGCAAAAACACCTCAAGTTTCTTTGTCCCGATTGTCCTTGTAGATCTCTCGCTTTTTTGAAAGATGCACAAGCGAATTCTCCACACTTTTCTCGATGCACTCATCGAACTGTCGCCCTTCTCATTCCCTTTGTATTCGTCATGATCACAGTGGAATGTTGCAAGTTAGTGCCGGAGGAAGTAACAAATAGTCCTCACAGACAATGTTATTGTTGGGTATAGGTGACTCCACTTCGCACTTCAAGCACCAGCAACGTTTATACTTTCACTCTGGTTTAAACAAAAGTTTCCCACTCAGAGCATCAAGGTAAAGTAAATGCTCAATTTTAACGTTACCGAAAATTTGTAGTGCCTGCCTCTAAACGACTTTTAAAAGGGAAGCAGATACAGATCAGCGGTTTTAGTTGGATTTGCAACCACAAATTGGCGAATGAAGTTGGCGAAGCATCGCATATAATTAGTTCAACATTCCAGTTGCATACTATGTGAGCAATCTGGAAGATACGAAAAGGGAACATTTAAGGAAAAAAAGGCAAATAGACTGCTGAGCTCTTGAGGCTGTAAAAATGGAAAAAAATTTCAGAGTCAACTGCTCAGTTGTGTGCATCATGCAAATACTGCAAAATGAAGCGCCAAGGCAATTGTGAACGGATGTTTGCAATCATTCATACATTTACCTTTGAGTGGTTATTCAGAAGGATTTCCAACCTTCCCCTTTCACTTAGTCCATTTGTATGAACCTACTCGTAACTAAAATGAAAGGGACTTTGTCAGGTAATCGGGCATTAGGGTGTGTCACTTTCAAATGTCGGCAGTTCATTCATGATTGGTTGACCGTAACCATCAGAGATGAGTGAGTGCGGTCCTTTCATTTCGCCTCTTTGGTCAAAACAAATCTTTTATTCACTTGCAAAAGTTAAATGTTTTTTCGTACTTATAAACAGTGCGGTATGTTAACTATATTTAACTTCCCTATAAGATAATTAAAGTAAAAAGGACTAATGAGACATTCCTTTATGTACCTTTAAAGGTAATAATCCATCCCTTTCGGTCAAAACGGATTTGGAACCGACCACTTTGCGTTCTACCAGGTCTTTGGCTGCTCGCGTTCCTCATGGCCACTCCAATGTTAGCCTTTTCAACAGTCTCTACTGGTCTCACTTTTACTGAGACCTCAAAACCGAGCAGAGTTTGCGTGGAAGCATCGCTTCGCAACTTACAGCTCCAGCGCTTTAAACATGCCTATGGCATCTTTACTCTCATCTGTCAGTACGTGGTTCCCTTTGCCATTCTTGTAGCAGTCTACATTCGTATTTGCACACGTATTCGCAGTCTCTCTATTGTTCGCTCCAAAAACACGCAACAACCCTCCGCAGTAAATGCTGATCCTCTCGGTTTGAGTACCGATACACCTGCAAAAAGCAATGCATCGAAATCACAGTCCCCAAGGAGCTGCTTAGATTTGGGAGGACTTACAAGGCAATCAATAAGCGTTAACGCAATTTCCATGCTATTGCAGAGGACAGATGAAAAGAATCGAAGAGACAGAGTAAAAAAACCCAGAGAGGTACAGCTTTTGCATCAGGATCAGCAAGGAGAGCGTCGACAATTTCGCCTGAAGCGCAAACGGCGCGCAAGCATTCTGTTGACCTGCATTTCGCTGGTCTTTGCAATCTCCTGGCTACCCTTGCATGCAGTAAACATATTTATGGATTACAAGGAACACTCGGCAGTCAGTCTCACAGCATCCAACCTCACCAACGATGGTGGAACTAATGGGGTGGGAAAAGCCTTCATGGGAGCTCGTCATGTCACTCTTATCCAATCTGCGTGTCTCCTGTGCGTACTCTTCTCGTGTTGCGTCAATCCTCTCCTCTATGGTTATCTCAATGAAAACTACCGAAAGGAGTTTGCAGAAATCCTCACCTGCTGCTGTTGTGGATATCTACGACCTTCTCACCGAAGGAGAAATCTTCCTCGACGGTACTAATTTGAGGTGGACAAACACGAAAGTAACAACAACAATACATTGATTAACTTTTCTTTATATTTCCTATTTTCGTTATTTTTTAATGCAAATAAAAGCGCTTGTGTAAATAATAATCCTTTAGTTTATAAAAAAGGTAAAAAAGGAATATAGACAATAAATGGCAAGCGAGTAGGTGTTGCAGATTAATCGAGAAAAAGCTTACCATGCAATCAGAATCAGTCAGCTCCTTGAGTGTCGCATTTCTTTCCAAATTGTGTCGGAAACGTTTTAAGACAATAAGGCAATTTAGTAAAGTTATGCGGTGTAAGCAGCTGCAAAAGCTCCACTACCACAGCATACGCCAACTGCCCTTATTTGAACTGAGTCTCAACTCCATGCGATTCAAGGGTTTCCGATGTTGATAAGGGCGAAAATCACTCCATCAGAAGTATGTCTAGCAGCGTGCGATGGGTTGAACGGACAGGGTTGTTTCATCCTCCGGTGCAGTGCCAGTTCTGAGGAAATCTCTGACTACTTAGGAGTTCAAATAAGTATTGCAGATGCTACAGTCCTTTCATCGATGCGATGCTAAGTAAAAGTGTGAAAACAGAATTTTTGGTGATTCTGCCTTTTAATGCATTACAAACAAGAGGCGAGCACACCTTTCTGGGTAATTTGGTAATTCAAGCGTTTGTAAGTTGGTGCAATGCACAGTTGTCTGGTCGGTAGATCAGTCCAACTGATAAACCTAAGGGCATCGCTATACGCATTTGAAGCACTTTACACCTCTCCTTGCCATTTGATAATCCTATGCCCACTTGGGAGGTACAATGATAAAGCAATTACTCTGTCCGCGCGAAAAGGGAAGTTTCATTTAAAGAATCCTTTCATCAGTGTTTTCTCAAATTTGATTATTTTTAAGAAAATTTATAAGGTTATGGCATTGTATACACCGCTTGTGGAAGATGTAGGAAGCATCGGTACGGGTGATATGCTTGCATGTGTCCAATTGATGCACATCCCAAAGGAAAGGTTGATGGTAAAAGGCGCACAACAGGCCATCACAGGCGTGCGGGTAATGAGCAATTGTTTTCAGTCGTAACATGCATTGGTTAATAAAAGTCTTTTCAATGAACTTTACAATGCACTGTTTTTCTTTTTTAATAATGGCAGAATGTTTATTGAAAAGAACGGCACGGAAGGTGGGTGGCGTACACCCTCTAAATGAGGCGTTACAAATCCCCAAAAATCATTCAGCTCTTTCCATGGGATTTTTATTGTCTCCACCTACCTCTGCCGCAAAAGTCTTTGGCCTGCCATGATATTTTGATTGGAGAAATGAAACGAAGTTACCGACAACAGATGAAATTATTTGAAGCCGCAAAATGCGTTGAATCAGTTATGGACTACCGAAAAGTGCCTTCGAGATTTGTATTTCTTGTTTACTTTTGTGTGGCTAACTAAGAGGTCTGAGAAAGAGAGAGGAGTGGGACGAAAGTGCTCACGATATCACGAAATTTTAAAGGTTATGATGGCGTAAAAGACACATCCTATGCCATCTAAGATGCTCAATAGCGCCCCTCTTCTAGATCGCTTAGGTATAGCATGAAAGGAGAAAAGTAGATGGGCAGTAGTACGCTCATTGGCACACTCTTTAGTGCCGTGTTTCATCAGAAACTTCACTCACCAACTTGTTTGCACAACTTACTCACTAGATCACTGAAATGGTTTAAATTGCAAAAACACATAAACTCTTTAAATCGGTGATTTGCTCATCAACACCAATTTTACTTCCCGAACTTTACCTGAGCTAAACCCCTTCTTCCCCACTGAAAACGCTAAGTGTATTTAAAGGTACGCCACCCTGGAAACTCAAGTTTTGTTTATTCGATGGAGGGCTGGTGGAACAAGTCACCCCAGTGTTTTAAACCATTAATGTCTTAGTGTTGCAAGCAATACTGCCTGAGAGGCTGTTTTTTGTCTGAGTCTGCTAATATCACTACTGCAGGAGCAGTGAAGTGGCGAGGCGCACGCCCAACCCGCAGTCACCAGTGTAGCTGTTTGCACTCGGGCACGGCGTTCTTTGGAAATGTCTTTGAAGGCAAGAAAAGGGAAGCGGTTAACAATCACCTTGCCAGTCTCCCCAGCTTGCTGATTATTAGGATATGTGATGTGTACCTCATTTGTAAAAAGAGCAGAAGAGGCTAATTGAATGCCATCATGCAAATAATAGCAGCCATAGGGTTGCTTACAGCGCCCTGTCCAGTTTTCAAACAGTTTTACGATAAATGTGTACTAACTCGGGTGCAATTTTGTTAATTTTTTTGTACAAATAATTATGTTTTATTTTGGAGAATTAAAAGTAGATAGATTGTGTTTTTCTGTGTTTTATTATTCGAAAATTACGGCTAATTAGCTGTAAGTCCTTCGCTTATGGATAAGTGGGGTCGCTTCACTTGCGATGCACATCAGAACTTATCATTTTGTCAACCTAGCCCCTGCCATCCTCGTTTATTTCCACACCAAAATGTCCGCTTTGCACCTCTTGTCTAGGCACGAAAACAATCTGCAGGGCACTGCTGAAGGGAAGCCCTTGTTCCCTCATTTTCTATTAAGTGACAAGGAGTGTCTTTGGAGTGTTAACCTTTGCAATATGGCACTGTCCCATTTCCGTGATTTTCAGGGCCTGGTTCTTCACATTAAGTAAATGACGTGGATTGCCTCCGAGGCTGTGCTATGGGAACAAAAAGTGAGACATCGAGTGTAAAGTTAGCTACACATTGTTCAAGCGTAATGTTGTGGACGTGAAGTGAGAGTTTAAAAGTGCGTAAGTTAGTTGATGCTAATTTGAGCATCTGCTTATTGCTGTACAATGAAAGCAGTTATAAACAAAAGGCTGTTCTTTAAACCCACTCCACTTGTTCACTAGCCACTACCACCCACTCTAATCAGATGTAGTGGGCGCGAGCCTTAGACAGAACACCAAGTGATTGTAAGTCCTCTCACGCTCTACTGAGCCCAATCAGGGATGCAATGTTCGTAAAATAAGACGCGTTTAGATATTTTGCATTATTTACTGGCTCTGCACTCGCTTCCACCGACATGCCACGATTGAAGAGAAGAAATTTTACAACTGTGCGTATCTGGCATGAATGACATTAATTTCGAATTAGTCACTTTTAAGGTGGCAAGAAAACGTAAGAAAAGGCACGAAAAGTTAGTGAATGCCCATCGCGGTAAAATATTATGCAGATTTGCATCAATGCTCCACGGAACTTTTTGGTCAAGAATTGAAGCACTGGTTAAATATGATATGCACTTGTTTTTTGTTTTTTCCCACATGATGAAGCTTCGAAGGCAAATCAACTACAACGAATGGTATCTTTATCGCATAGCGTAAAACTTTGCAAAAAGGGTAAGTATGCGGGTACATCAGAGCTTGCTGTCCCTCATTTCACCACCACGCCTATCCCATGGAGAAGGTTTGCGCCCCTTCAATTACTTGACTTGTCCTGCGTGGTAAGTTGCAGCATAAAATTGTGCATTTAGATTAAGCAAGCACTTTCTTCTGTCGGAGACATTCCCTTCCGAATTGTCACCTCATTGGAACTCACGCCTCATTACGTTGTAAAGGTTTTTGCCATTGTGCAAGGTTGTGTGTCGGTGGCACATCCTCTAAACGTAGGTGCACCAATGCAATTGTCATGGAGTCGCATTAATGCACATAACCATCAGGAAGTTAATGTTTCAAAGCCCTGAAGCACTCCAGACCCACTACCATTTGTTGATGTTTGATTCCCGATGATTTAGCTAAAATCCCGAGTAAGTGGACTCATAATATCAGTCAGGCATGTGTTAAGTATTCGTCGCCTAAAATTGAACAAATTCCATCAAAGCCACAGGAGTCGTGAGATTCTTCTCATCCACATACAGGTGGAAACCCATCACAACAGCCTTTTACGGTACCTTACTGCCACTTGTGATCGCTTCTACCTACGCAGCGTTTCAGCCATTCCAAATAGACCTAGAAAGATAAGCTATCCATATTTAAAAAGATCGAGCAGTTTTTGACTTTTTTATGAATAAAGTTACGTAACGGTGGAAGACTTCTTTAAATATTTATGTACAGTAGCAACCACTCAACAACCAGTTCTCGAAGTTTTTCGTTAAAATTCTGCCGTCTTTATGGAAATTTTGATGCTATGCAGATCACTTTTTCTGTCCCCGTTTTATTTATTTGTTTGTTGGTTAATTCTCATCGCAAGTATTGAAATAGATGTGCCTTGCTGGGCAGGCACTCATGCGAGACTCACGAAAGTAAATCTCATCTTCTTACCCAGTTGGAGGTCAAGCCATCTCGAAGACGTCCAATGCTACAAAGCCTTGCGACATGACAATAGAGCTGAGGCCCATCGACTTCAAAAAAGACAATTATGGATTAAAGAAGAAGGTGGGATATAGGAAACTGCCCCTAATGGTGGCAGTGCCAGCAAAATTTCACCTTCTTGATAGGAAATGTGAAGCTTGAGCAATGACACCAAAAGGCGCATATTTATTCTGCCTTGGCCTCCATCTCCTCTGTCTTCCTTGAATATTCTTTTCGCTGCAATAATTTGAGGACATCACCTCTTACAGAGTCTAAAATTAATGCTACCCCATGGTGCCGCATCTACGAGGCAAAGCAGACATTGTGTGGAACTTTACATCAGCTCTACGAAAGTAAAAGATGAAGACAAGAGATTTGCTAAAAATATTCCAGATTCTTCCAGATTACACATAAACGGAGTCCATTCCCAAAGGGAGCCCTCGTTTTTATTGTAAGGTTCACCCTGAACAGCATTCTTCGATGCTGTCACTAGAACCATCCAAACGTGACGGACCTCGCCAGCCTTGATAGTCGGAACTCTCGCTTACATCAAACCATCAGAGGAGAACAGCTTTCAGACGATAAAATATTTGGTACTGGAAGTCTTACACTTTCTCGCTTTTCATTTACGTCGGTAAACAGACATGACGCCTAG